TCGACCATCCTCTTCTACAGTAACATCAGGTCTGTGGAAGTGGCGAAGGGCTGCAACACTAGCAAGGTTGCAAGCATCTCCAAGATTTCCTGCATGGTTGAGGACCTGTTGAGGTGTAGGAAAAATGCATCATTAGAAACCTTGAATTGGGATATGAGAGCAGGTGGAGGTACTGAAACATTATGAAACACGGAGATAAATGAGTGAAAATTAAGAAGCAAAGAGCAATTATACTTCCTTAAGCTTATGAAAGTTAAGCAATGACTTTTATAACTACTTGGGACCTGGTTGTTCTCTGCATATATATATATATATATATATATATATATATATATAATATATATATATATATATTATATATATATATATATACATATTTATGTATATATATATATATATATATATATATATATATATATATATATATTATATATATATATATATATATATATATATATATATATGTGTATATATATATATATATATATATATATATATATATATATATATATATATATATATATATATATATATATATATATATATATATATATATATATATATATATATATATATATATATATATATATATATATATATATATATATATATATATATATATATATATATATATATATGTTATACTTCTGATAATACAAATAAAATGGAAACAATCTTCAATTACATTGCATAACATATACAAAAATGTTGCAATTCAATATTTTGACAATTCAATAAATTGTTGAGAAACATATATGAAATTGAGAGACCACACAAAAACAACTGATATTTTATTTAGGTTAAAGGAAAATTAAAACTCCCTGCCCCTAAAAAGACGTGCTTTTACTATAACATTATTTATTTCATTGCTTGAATATCTTTGACTCTATGATTTTGCTAAGAATATACTCTTGCTTCTTTTTTCTTAATAAACAATCTATTTCTATGTTTAATAATATAGCAAGCTACATCATCCCTTCTCCTTCAACAGCAATAATATAAAAAATCCTTAAATATATTCCATTTATAAACATAAATATCTTGAAAGATTTATAAATTAACCAAAATCCATCATGAAGTGATATAACATGCTTACAGTGACATCAACCCTCAGCTGCCAAACACTCTCCTCTGCCAAGATGCACAGTGACTCAAGATCAAGGCAACGTGACTCCTTGATATTACGATCTAAGATTTGCTGTAGCTCTTCAACCAGATCATTCCCTCTTCCTGGTTCAAAGTGCGGTGCTGCCATGGGTGACAAATGGACAGAAATCGAAATTTTGCCTTCACTTGGTCTTGATGGTCTGGGTTCAACTACTTCACATGTTACCTAAAAAGAGATACAGGTTCAGGAAACTTTTAGTGAATGTAACCTGTGCAAAATAAGAAAAATGTTTTTGCAAAGATTCATATATCTTTCTGTAATATCATTTCAAGATTTACACAACACTGAAACTTGAGAAAATAATACTAGGTAATGATACTGATAATGAAAAATGTCAACTACATAACGTACTAAGTTCATACATATACGGCTAAAAACATACCTGTGCTAAAACTCGTGTTAGTCCTAGTGTTACTGTGCAGGATCCAAAATCTTTGCCAAAACTGATATTTATGTCACGAACTTCCAGAAATTCTCTGTTGTCATGCCTTAGACCTTTCTGGATAGCTGAGATTACTGAATTACGCTCGCATGAGCTCAGAGGTGTCTCCTTCATTTTTACCTGAAAAACAGAATAGTTTCAGAATGACAAAAAATTGGCAATACAGCTTAAAACATACTGTTCTAAGGACATAGTAAATAAGCTGTATTCAATATTTATCTTTTTTCAGTACCTGTGATCAGGAAAATGGCATATGTAATATCCCTTACAAGCATTTGATGAACAAGTTGGTACTGGTACTATACCCACAACCACTTAAGTTTATCTAGGAAGATGAGGCACTCTGTATATTGATAAACCCAGTGCCTAAAAGATGATCTTGAAATAAGGACACCCAGAATGAAAGTACTCAAGCTCTGAAGATGCAAAGATATGTGAAGTCTAGCTCATGTATTACTATGCACTTGTGAAGAAAATTATTTTGTAAATTTCTGCTTTTCTTAATTCATGTATTTCATACATTCCTTTATTTTTTATATATTTTATTTCTTGTTTTGTTAGTTTTATGCTATTCTTAAAAAAAAAAAAAAAAAAAAAAAATGTGCATTTGTGCTTTCCACCGACTTTCAAGATTCCACGATCACCATTCCTGGACAAAACCCCGGTGAAGAATGTTTCATTTCCATTGCTGTGCCTATTCCGAGTCCTTAGTAGCTATCGCAGCTTGATATGTAAGCCCGTACAAGTGTCCCAAAATGCACTTTTCTTGTTTCAACCTACTTCATACCCTCCCCTGCTATCAGGACAACACATCAAGATTGTCGGCTGTGACTGCTATGGGAATGATCATCAGATTCATTCTCATCACACAAGGATAAATCTGATGATAT